CCCAGTAAGAGACATCCCAGCGAGAGACATCCCAGCAAGAGCCATCCCAGCGAGAGACATCCCAGCAAGAGACATCCCAGCGAGAGACATCCCAGCAAGAGCCATCCCAGAGAGAGACATCCCGTTGTGAGCCCATAGCCCATCGGGATGTTTCCAAGGTTCACAAGACTACTCCGCATACTTCGACGATACCCGGGACCACAACGGGTAGACCTCAGTTAGACAATTTCCAATTTCTGATATATCGAATCGACGCGATCCGACATTGGCTTGAGATTTTTGACCCCTCTCATCTTGTCACGCTTTTCTAGTTCCTCCTGTATGATCTTTCGAACTCCTGATTCAGCAACCTGTTTGGCCTGTAGGAATCTCGACGCTATCTCGCTTTCCTCGCGTTCGGACTCTTTCGCTCCTTTTCTGAATAGATATTGAATGGTCAGTGTCGACAATTGAATGAACATGGAGGATTAGACTGACGGCGCTAGCAATTGATGTCTCTCATCATCACTTCCTGTATCTGTTGTTGCCTTCTTCCAACCGAGCGGAGACATTGATTACTCTCTTCGTCTTTGCAAAAATCGACGTGATGGCACGAAAAAAGGAAGGAAGGGTAATGGAAGCACTTTTTCCGTTGGTGTTTGGACTTCGAGTCAATCGCATAAATATGAGGACCGTCCCTGCCGACTCAGGTGAGGGGGGGCGTCCGCTTCTCAGCCCATCGGGCGCGAGTTTCACGAATGAAGTGACCTTTCGGTCCAGGGGGGGCGTGGAAACGGTTCGACCCTCCAATGATCGGCAGGCGAACACACCTGAAATAGTCCGGCCCCCGGACTAGCTCCGGCTGTGAGTCCCGTGTCCCGACCAAAGGGCATGAAACACGTGTGCCGGATGTCCTCGTCACCTCGCGGGGGTTCCGTGCCACGGACTCACGGGCGATGCAAAGAGGACAGTTTTGAGCAGTGGCGGCCCTTGTCTCTTGGTGTGAGGAGAGATATGTTATGATATGAGGCTCAGCGGGCTATCGCGACAGTGGAAAAAACATTATGGAATCATTCCGCGTGCTTGGAATTGTGAGGAACCTTCTAGAGCATTACTCTCAAGTGAAGGAGAATGACAACGCGAGCACAACAGTGCTAGAAAGCGCCTCACAAGTGGGGTATTGGACAGGACGCACCGCACCGGCGAGCGCCAAATCAGAGATGACGTGGCAGGACCATGTTTCACTGACTTTGCCCAAGAGATATGATTCTACTACCATGACGTACCACACATCGGGCTCCGGGAGAAGTGATGGGCTCGTGGAGATACGATCCGGAACTGCTAGGACGGGTGTAGAACCAGCTCCTGGAGAGAAAATTTCGAAATGGTCAACTTGAACGAGTCCAGGGGAAGGTATTGAAACACTGTGTATGTATTCGGAGATATTGGACAAGCCCTCGTCGCCCGCCGTGTCCTGCTCCCATGTTGTAGGTCGGCGGCCGCTCTTTCCTCTTCCACTCGGCCCCTGATAAATCTCCATTCAACGAGCCATGTTACTATACATGACAGGACCTAGCCACTGTGGCATGCGTCGTGCCCTGTACACCTCCTCTGCTTCAATCCGTGTCGGCAGTCTTGACCGCGATTTGGACCGCAGAGCACCGCAGAGGATGTCATCGTGAATTCCCTCATTGCGATCCTTTTGGGTTTTTCGCGGGATGGCTCGAACGCGATGGCCATTTTGTGTGCGCCTCCTTAGGGTTGGGCCGGGGATGCTCGCGCTAGGGGAGAAGTTCGCGTGACGCTCGTTGACGGTCGAACATTTTGTGACCAGGGCACAGGGAGAAGACGTGAACTTGTTCGAACTCGTCGTGCGCCTAGATCAGGCGGGAGAGGTGGGATACCTGGCGCTCCTCCTTCTCCCCCTGCGTGGAGACTTGCTCCATGCGCCTGGGCAATGGAGGGGATGGTCGAGACGGTGTGGTTGAAGACACGTCGAACCAAGTTCACCTCGGCGTGAGTTGGTCTACCCATTGAGTCGTTGAGTTTCTGGGTGGCTGGTACTGTAGCTAGCAATTATTAGAATCCCCATGTCACATGACATGGCCCCTGGCTCTTGCGTTCCGAGAATGCGCGCTGGGAGACTGGAAAATCTAATTCTCGATCTGGTTCTCCGTGAAACAAACATGATATCTCTCAAGCAACATAATTTGAGGCCTATTCCAGCTTGTCGATTACGGAGCCCTCTTTGTCCGCTGTCTACTCCACGCCTCTACTCGCCTCGAGAGGCGCCGGCTATAAGCCCGCCCGACCTAGAATTCTGAATCTCCCTCCTCTTCCTCACGCAACGACATTGAGTAGAAACAAATCCCCCTCGTACGTTTCTCACAGGCCAACCCGCTCTTTAAGAAAATGCCTGTCACAAAAGGACAATCTTGGGTGGGGACATCAGTGTTGACGCAAACAAGCGATTCTACCCCTACGAGAAGCCGACCGTGCTGGAAGGTCAACTTCTAGACGCGGTCACTATCACCAACAGCTCCCCTACACACCGCACAACCGTGTGAGACCATCCGGGTGCACAGGCGCCCTCTGCTTTCAGAAGGGGGACTTTGCACCATTGCATCGGAAGAACGTGATAGGGTCGTGCTGGGGATGGATACACTTTCTAGTCACGAAGACAATGATGTGACGAGACACCTCTGTGGCGCATCGTTGTATATGTAGGGTATTAGGGCAGGACGGCGTCGTTGTTGCGCTGTCCAAAGTCCCAAGACTCTACTTACGCGGGTGATCTCTCTGTCCCAGGCCCGGTCTTGTCCCACGATTAGCGCTTGACGCCCACATTCTCCTGAGACCCCCTTGGAAGCCTCCATCTCCGAGCTGCGAAAGGGATAGAGAACCTACCCATGGGGGATAGTGAGGAGGGGGCATCTCAGTGGCCTCGAGAGGGTTCTATCTCCCTCGACATACAAACGACATGATGAAGATTGACCCTATAATCATGTTGTTGTCACAACATATACACTAGACCATGATCGATGGCGGTCATTAACGTCGAGCCCCGCGACCCGATCGGTGACACCTCTTCGAGGAGAATGCGGGCCAGTGAATCTCCCTTCGATGATCATGGGCGATGGCGAGATTCTCCAGAACCGAGCGGGCTGGCCATTCGAACTTCGGTGGGTGAGAGCAGAGTTAGTCTAAGAAGACCCCATTTATCTGGGTTGCCTTCTCCCAGTGATTGCGGTGTACTATACGTCGGCACGCCGGTACCATGCGCTGAATCCATGACGGTGTTGATCGTACCATATGCTGGCGTGAGAACTTGCGGCGCCCAAACATATCGGGAAGGAGCGCCGCACCGCATCAGGAACTTTCCAAACGCCGATGAAATTCATGATGAAATCGACTCCGCAAATCCTAGATCGACCTTCCTCTTCCTATACGCCGGCAAATCGCCGAGATTCTTCACGGAGGGGGACGGCTCTCTGCCTTAAGGCGTTTGAGTTGTGTGAACTTTTCGATCAACTTCCCGATTTGTAAATAGTCATCGGGATCCGCCACGCCGGGGTGCTGCGCTAAACAACACTTGGCCCAGTACAATGTTTTGATGGCTTCGTCGAACTCCGACGTATTGACAGACGATCGCGGTGGTGGCGGTGAGGACACAGGAGCGACATGAGATTGCCCGAGTGATTTCCCAGCCAAGGTTCTGGCCGGTGCGGGTGGAGAATGACCAGGCTCCGGATGAGACAACGCCGGACCGAGCACAGGACCCTCCATCATATTTTCCGAGGACGGCTGTGCTGTTGAGTCGTCATCTTTCGGTGAGCCCATAGTGTGGTCCTTTTCTTTGTCGACAATGGAAAGCCTAGGTTCCTCTACCTTGACGCCTGGCATCGCAGGACCACTCAAGTGGTCAGAGGGAACATGTGCGGTCTTCGCCAGAGTCTGGGGCTGGAAAGCCGGACTTGTGTTTCTGGATGTCGAATCATTGTCGCCCTGGGGAGCCGTTAAACCGTGTTCGCTCTTGAACTTCTCCAACCAGTCCGCACTTGCTACGAACGATTTATCGTTAAGAGCAGAGCAGAAAGCACCGGCTCTCTCCTCGAGGTCCTCATCGGAGATCGGTGTGCCCTTTTCCTGGCTGGCTCTCACCCAATTGATCAATGTGTTCTTGACACGGAGTGCCTTGGCTGTTGGCTTCTGTTCAACAGGAGATACCTTGGCTGTTGGCTTCTTCTCAGGGCTGGAGCCGTCCACTCCTGAATTGAGGTTGATGTACTTGTCCTTCTGCCTCAAGATTTTGGACACAGTGCTACTGACCGTTAGCGAGATCCATTGCCGGAGAAGCCACGACTTTGCACCTTCTTTCTACATTGTACTTGGCTATTCAGGTCAGCCATGATGCAATGTGAAGGCATACGGAAAGTCAATCACCTCCGATTTGAGTTTGTCTCATGGTTGGGTTCTCCTCAGCATCTATGCACATTTGACGGCGTTCATCGTTCGTTAGTTTGCGACGCTTAGTGGCTGTTTCAGTGAGAGTGACATTCAAATTGTCGTCATAAACAGCCCCGGGCGGTAGAGGACCAGCGGGTAAAATCGGCATGTAGTTTTGGAAATGTTGATTGACCAGCTCGTTGGGCAAAGGCGGAGGAGAAGACGGCGCCCACCATGACAATCCACCGACATCCACAGGTGGGTTTACCATCCCGTGGTATACAGAACCTTGAAAAGACTGACCCATCAAGCCTGAGTAGCTCATCTAGTGAGCCACACGCCGGTTTTATGTTCTCGGGCGAGCAGGATCCGGAATGGAAGTTTTCGTGTAGTCAATACACGGAGGCCGAAACTGACATTTCCCAAGTAGAAATATAGACATAAATGCCAAGATAAACTGATCTTCAAGACGGAGGGTGTAGATGAGAGGCGTCGTGCAACCTTACCGGGCACGGTAGGCTCTACTTCAGTTCTTTATGCTCCTTTCCCCGCCTTGCCTGCTCAAGAGATCTTGTTCTCACTCCGGACGAACTTTGATGTTGGTTTATCTCTTGGTAGGGAAGAGGCGGGGTTGTGGATCGGCTTGATTGTAGTGCGAGGGCTGCGTGAGAGTGGGGAATGGCATGGTCTGAGTGGCCGCTTACAAGGAGCATCCTCCTCTATCTGCTTCCTCTTTGAAGCTCTATCTGTGGGTGGAGAAGAGTTTGAGCTGTATTATAAGCGCCCCACGATGGTACGAAATGTCCTTGTGGCGTTGCACTGAGTGAAGGCAATGGCGGGGAGGCGGGAACCACAAAAGGATCGTTCATCCGCTCCCTTTTGGCCCTGACCCAGACCATACGTATTTGTGTACAGAGGACCCCGTACGAGGTAGGAGGAGACAACGTACTCAGTGTTGACGGGGGGGGGTTTATGCTGTATGCCCACCAAAAGCGGTATCAAGGGTGCTTCGATCGTAGGAGGAGCTGAAAGGAAACTAGGTCACCCCTGTCACCTACATTCCCCGGCAGGTGAGGGAAGTCACGAGCGGTTCGCATCAGCGCCCCTAGCTCGGCGGCAGGTCTTGCCCGTTGTTCGAGGGAAGCCACAAATCGGGGATGGGATTACATGGGACGAGAACGCTAATCTTACTCCGTCCTAGCTAAAACAATAGTATGAACTTCGTATTCTATGTAGCTTGGCAGGTGGCGCCAAACAGGAAACTCTGACACTACCGTTCGGACGCGCCTTAGGGCACAGTCGTTGGGGGACAGCGGCCCTGGACTCTGGGCGTCACTGTAGTGATCCGGGGTTTTCTCCTCTCAGTCTCGTACTGCGAGATAACAAAGACTAGGTGTCCAAGCCCCGATGAGGGCGGGAGGCGTAAGGAAGGAGATGAACGTCGTTCTGGAGCATCGAAAGGTTCGACGAGCCTCATCTGGGTACGGGATGCAGAGTAGGTCCCACGGCTCTCAGTGCGGAGTTGACGGCACGTTTAGATGGAGCATCCCTAGCAGGAGGCACCGCCATGTCAAGCCTAATCGAGGACGTCGCGTGGGAGCAAGTTCGAAATGGGCCAGTGTCGACAGGGCATAACTGAAACCCCACCAATTCAAAAAGATGTAGCGAGGGTCACGCCGTTCGGCAGGAGTGTCCAATCGGCGGCCGATCTCTCTCGCTTCGATCTCATGTTTGAGTGTTCAAGATGACGAAGGCGCGACTGCCAAGCGCCGGCAGAGACCTATTAGAACTCGGTAGGTTGACCCGCCCGTTGGTGGTTCCGAGACCAGCCGGTAAACCATCCTAGCTCCGTCCTTGGCGTGAGTACTTGTAGGATCGGCTTCACAAGGTAGTTCCTCAACAAAGATTTGCGTGAGAGTTGAGATACCTGACCGTATACAGTCCCGGTCCGATCTGGTGACTTGACTCGCTTAGTCCTGGCTTACCTCCTAACGGGTGGACCGCCCCTCCAGGTAACAATCGCATTCGAAGATCCCGACCCACACGAACGAGCACTTAATAGTCAAACTCCATGTCTTCCTTCGGTCGGTTTGAGGAGACTTTCCATGGATTTGATTTCTCCCCCAGATCAACGAAACCTCAGTCGTCAGAAGAACACGTGACACTCGTTGCGTGGGCGAAGCGGAGCTTCACGATACAGTCCATCCTTCCCCGACACATCTCATAACTGACCATTGGTGGTGTTGTTATCGGATATAACGTACGAAGGCAGGAACAACACAGTGCACTTAGATAATCATCTCGTAAGTGGAAAACTAGGCGTCCGACAATTGCATTCTGCAGTCTGGCATCACAATAGCTGAAGGGAAAAAAGTACTGTAGGGACTGGGAAGATTGCATCAAGCGTGCCTCATGATGTCCGTGACAAAGATGTGAACAGCCTACTCCGCACCTGGCCTCCTATAAGGCCTTGTCGTCACTTTTACCCACTCATTTCCTCACTCTAGCATATGACAACAAGAGGTCTACTCCATAATTGTAAGGAGTGTTCCGCACGAAACGTGCCTCATGCCTGTTGGTACCTAAGGCCCCCGTCATACTCTTATTCTCCTCATCGTTCCTGAGGTCGTCCCTCAATTTCTCGCAGCAGGGCACAGTATTTCCCTGGTAAATTTTTCGGGCAAATACCATCTTGGGCACTTTTCAGCTTTCGCGTAATATGGACATTCGTCGAAGTTGATGTTCCAAAGATGTGCCACTACCACCATCCTAGAAACAATTTTGACGAGGATCGGTGTCGTGAGGTGAGTGCCGTTCTTTCCATCCCGTGGGTCTCTGTCAGTAATGCTTGCGTTGCGATGACTCAGGGTGTCGTTTCGTCCCGGCTGTGACATTTGCATAAGCGCCATCTCCAGGCTAGCCTCTCAGGACCTGGCCGACGACGGCCGAACCGAGGAGCCTAGAAGCTCCGAAGACTGGGGCATGGGCCATAGCTTTGATCGGCAGGGTTCTGAGCAAGGAGAGCAACAATGCCGCGTCCACCTTTAATATATAATCGATGGCCAAGTCGCCCGTTGGGCTCCGCCACAACCGACCAATCCAAATCCCTCGCTGCTGGAGTGATACACTGAGGTCCCCGGAACCCTCGTTCCAATGGCGATCGAAGCCTAGGGCTATCATGATGTAGCTATTCATAAGGAAGTGAATCGGCTACCTCGGTCGAATCGCAAGGGCGAGAACTAAGTCTGCAATTGCGCCAGATGACTGCGACGGCGTCCAACTGGGAGCCAGGGCTGGATCCTACCAGTCTAGACTATCACGTGCTTTGGTGCCTTTGTGGTGTAGGCATCGCACACCTGGCTGTGATTTTCCAGACGAGAACAACAATAACCCAAGGATAGTCCCAACTTGAGAGGACATATTTAGAGGCGGGTGTATGGGAATTTTGTTTGCAACGTGAGACCGAGCGCCTCACCCGAAAGGTGCTCAGAGGAAACTGCCTTCAGGAGAGTGGACGGGCTGGACGAAGGTCTGCGATAGGTTGGCTCAACGTGCGGCCAGAACCGCAGTGATTGAACGAGGGCATCCTTAGTAAGCGCTCGTGTGCCAAGGCTTGGCTCTGAAGCTTAATTTGACCTACTTAGGAGCGATCGGATCGAGCGAGTCAAGTGTTTTCGCACTGAGACGACCAAGCCGCCCTAAGGACGGTGGGGTCCGGGAGTCACGCAGGTTCGGGAAGGTACACGACTACCGACTGGGGTTCGCTCATTGATTGCTATCTCTTCACCAGGGCGACCTGGTGGAAAAGGGCTTGTGCGTGGCGGTTCAACGACTTTCACACCATCCGCTTGTTGTGAATTACGGCAGTGGAAGCATGAATTTTTTTTTTCTTTTCTTTCTACTCTCTCAGAATGTAGAGAGTAATAAATACAGTGAGAGTAATACTCTAGAAGCTTCCTAACAATTTCCAAGCACGCGGAATGATTCCATAAGGCTTTCATCAATATCATGATAGTTG